AGTGGTATCTAACAACATGCCCTGCTTAGTGAATTATTGCTGGGGGGTGGGCTGTAAAAAGTTCTTGCTGTTTTCGAAAACCTGCTGAAGAGCAGAAGAAAAGCAAGAGGCTGATGTGTGAAGAGCTAATCCAGTTTGGGTCAGAAGAGGGGAGTTACCTGCGTATGTCACTGAATTCTACAGGGAAGACTGGTTACAAGAGTGGCTGTTTGATGATATACATGCAGTGCAGGAAAACCTGTAACTGCCAGAGCCGATAGGTACAAGGTAGAAACCCATCCGAGAAGGAAAACGCATTTGCTGAAACAAGAAAGGAGTCTTACCTACCGTGAGACATAACGAAAGTGACAAGGCTGCATTCTGTCAGAGACTGTTCCATTGGATTCTAGCTCTCAGAGGCGTCACTGTCTAGTTTACCACACACACAGAAGAGCCCACTTCTCTACAAAGAGGAGCCCTGAAGGTATGGGTTAAGCATTGAGCCGCTAACCACAAGGTTGGCAGCTCAAGCCCACCAGCCGCTCTGTGGGAGAAAGATGAGGCTTACAGCCTGGGAAAGCTATGAAACAGTTCTGCTTTGTCCTAGAGGGTGGCTACTGGTTGGAATGGACTGGGTGGCAGTGGGGGTAGGGGTGTGTGTGACATACAAAGAATGGTGTCATTTTCAGGTGTCTGCAACAACAAGCAGTGTCCCTTCCTCCATGTGAAGCCAGCTTCCAATACCTGTGACTGTCCGTGGTACGATCAAGGTTTCTGCAAGGATGGTGAGAACTGGAGGGGTGCGCTGGGGGCTGAAAGACTCTGGTAGGGGAGGGAAGGTTCTTGATGAGCATCTGTGGGGGTCTCTCCAAATCAGAAATCCCAGCAGCCAGCCCCAGACTCCTGCTCCCGTGGGAAATGCTATGTTGCTAAGCAAGGGGCCTGATGTAGTACCAGATGGGCTCACTGGGAAGGCGTATGTGGGTCAGAGCCTAGCTCAGCCCTGACCCGCTGTGGCATCTCACACCCAGGAGCTCACTGGGGATACAGGGCAGCGACTCGATCTGCAGGCTGTTGTGGGATCAAATGCACGACCCCCTATAGGATCTGCCTGTTGTAGACACTCACACCTCATCTCGTTTCCGTTCCTCTGACTTGTCTGGGGGTGCCCCGAACTCCACGTACACATGTTCCACCTACCCCATTCCTGCCAGCCAACCTCAGGGGCAAACACCCTGGCAGAATTCCTGTGTCCTTGTGTTTCCCCGGGTCTTCAAGCACATTCTCCTTATGGAATGATTAGCAGTGCTAGGCCTCTGGTGCTGCAGTGGTTAAGCACTTGGCTGCTAACTGTAAGGTCAGCAGTTCTAACCCACCAGCTGCTGCATGAGAGAAAGATGTTGCAGTCTGCGTCTGTAAAGATGACTGAGTTAGAAGTTCTATGGGGGCAGCTCTCCTCGGTCCTCTGGGGCCACTGGTGATCAGTTGGACTTTGATAGAACGAATTGGGTTTGGCTATACCTTCTGTTGCTGGTGGGTGCTGTCCAGTCGATTCTAACTCAGAGTTTATAAGAAAGAGTAGAACTGCCCCACAGGGTTCTCAAGGATGGCCAGATCTTTCTACCATGGGACTGCCAGCTATTGGGTTAGCAGCCAAGTGGTAGTGGGGGCTGAGTGCTATCATGACCCTGTAGAGGATTTCTGAGGCTGTAAAATCTTTATGGGAGCAGAAAGTCTCATCTTTTTCCTAATGGAGCAACTGGTGGATTCGAACTGCTGACCTTGCAGTTAGCAACCGAATAACCAATAACTACAAGAAGGTAAACAGTGGCCCACGTGATGTAAGTCCTCTGAGACAGAGTCGCCTGACCTGCCTCCCTCAGGACTTGCTGGTTGACACCCCCGACACATCCCACGGTCCCTTCCCATCTGGGCAGGGTGGAAAGGGCAGGGAGATTAATTCACACCATGGCGACAGGTTTGGGTTTTTATTAAGTTAATGGCATAAATGAAAGGTTGGCTGTTTGAACCCACTCAGAGGCACCTCAGAAGAAAGACCTGATGATCTCCTTCTGACACGTCATCCTGGGAAGTGTGGATCTATTTGGACACACGTGGGGGTGACATCAGTCAGAATGGACTTGACAGCAACTGATTTAAACAACAACAAAATTAATGAAGTGGTAGCCTCTGAGCCCTGGTGCTGCAGTGGTTAAGTGCTTGCTCAGCTGCTAACTGGAAAGTCAGAGGTTTGAATCCCCAAGCTGCTCTGTAAAAGAATTATGTGGCAGTCTCCTTCCATAAAGATGCCAGCCTAGGCAATCCCATGGAGCTGGTCTTCTCTGTTCTGGAGACTCGCTGGCAGTAGGGAAGCAGATGACCGCCCACATCTTTTCTACACGTTCTCTCACTCTAAAGCAGACCTTCCTGGTCATCCCCTCTCGGCCAGCAGGTCCCCTGTGCAGGTACCGCCACATCCAAAAGGTCATGTGTATCAACTACCTTGCTGGATTCTGCCCGGAGGGACCCAGGTGCCATTTTGCACAGTGAGTATGATCCCTAGTTGGGTCCACATTCCCCTAAATCCAAAGGCTGGGACCCTTCTGTACCGTCATTGGTCAGCACCTGCCCATGCCCACGATGCTGGCTGGCTGGCCTCGCTGTCCGCACCACACCCTGAAAGCTCACCCGGCTCACACTGGGGAGGGGTGTGTTATTTCACAAATGGTTCTAGTAATGAATAGAAGCATTTCACACACACCCTCCCCACCCATGTCATCCTCTGCAAGGCTCAGTCCCGGCTATATGGGAAGGGCACCTTCCCTTCTGGGTTCTGAAATATGAAGTCTGCAGCAGGCATCTCTCTCCTTCCCACAGTCCCAAGATGAACCTGTTTTTATCCAGTCCCAGTTACCAGGAGGTGAGTGTAGGGAGGCAGTGTGCAGATGCGCACTTGTTCCTGTCCCTGGAGGGAACACTGCTGCCCACTAACCTGCATGGCCTGCTCAGAGCATCACCCTGTGATCGCCTACCACCACGTGGATGTGCTTGCTTCTCTGAGCCCCACTTCTGACCTCTCCATCACAGCTTTGGGTGGGATTTCATAGCTCATTGGTCTTGAGCATGTCAGAGAAAGAGAAGCCAGCTTCGAACCTGTCTTCTAAGTCAGCACCATCCCTGGGTGCTGAGACTGGGCCCTGTCCAGTCTCCATCGGGGGTCGGGGAACTACACAGCCTTTATGCCAAGTCCAACCCATAGCCTGCTTCTGCCCAGCCAGCAAGCTGAGTTTTTTTTTTTTAAGAAAATAAAATTTCTTTTTTAAGAAAATAAAATCAAACTATTTTGTGATGTGAGAATTATATGAAACTCAGACTTCAGTATTCATAACTTGTGTTATGGGAACACAACTATGGTCATATATTTATGTACACGGTCTCTCCTGCTTTAGTGCTGCAGCAGAGCTGAGGACAGACACCTCGCTTTACTGCATTTTATTTTATTTTTTTAAACAAACTTAAGGTTTGTGGCAACCCTGTGCTGAGCAAGTCTTTTGGCGCCGTTTTCCCAAAAGCAAGTGCTCACTGCATCACGTGGCCAGCCTCACAGCTTCAAACCTTCCCACAATGTGCTGGCATACTTCCTAGAATACGGTTTACTGTGACAATAACTTTTCTATGTACTGGGAAACCAACACTGCATCTAGCCTGCTCTATTGTGCTGGTCTAGAAGCAGACCCACAGTCTGAGACAGTCCCAAAGTGACAATTTGGTTTTCTGCAGAAAGAGTGCTGATCCTGGGTCCATTTGTTTGAGAGGCCAGGAGTGTGAGGGTTGGGGGGCAACTGCAGAACTTTGTGAGGTCAGTGCTGGGAGAGGGGGTGTGGAGAGACAGTGACATGGAAGAGGACGACCCCTGCTGGCTATAGAAAACCATCTTCAAACCCATGTCTAACTTTCACCAGATGGGTTTTGGGCACTTGAAACTAAATAAAGATATCTCCAAATCTGAGTTCAGCATGCTCTCCTGGTACACACCCCTACACTAAGTGTAAAGATACCGGTTCTGTGCCTGCAGTGTCTGAAGCAGGTGTTTCTTCGTGACTTAACTCTATCTGTAGATAGTAAACCGGCCCCGGGGTTCAGCATCTCCTGCTTCTGTGGTGAAGCCTCCCAGGCTGCCTTCCCTGACAGAGAAAAGGGTCCAAGAGAGTCTGTCGGCCACCCGCCTGCGGCCAGGCCACCCGCTGCAGGTCCCATACTACATGGTGAGTGAAAGGCCCCTAGGATGGGGACGGGGTGACCAGTTAGTTAGAAAAGCATCTGATTCCTTTCTGTGACAGACAGGAAAACTCCGCTGGGGTTTTAGACGTTAGGAGAGATGGGAGAGTACTGTAAGGTGCTTGTGTGGTACAAATGGTTTGCTCTTGGCTACTGACAACCCAAGGAGCCCTGGTAACGTGTAGTGGGTTACAAGCTGGGCCACTAGCCACGAGGTCAGCAGTTCAAATCAACCAGCTGTTCTGTGGGAGAAAGATGAGGCTTTCTGTTCCAGTAAAGATTTACAGCCCCGAAAAGCCTATACAGGGTCACTGTGACTCGGAACAGACTAGATAGCACACAGCCACGGACTGAACCCAGCCCATGGAGGTGAGGAAGAAAGGCCTGGTGATCTGCTTCCATGAGGTCAACCAAAGAAACTCAGTTCGACTCTCCACCTCAGGATGCCATGGCCTAGAACTACCTCAATGGCAATGTACTGGGGTTGTTTTGGTTTGGGGGCAATGTTGATAATCAAAGTCTCAGCTAAGTCCTGTTGTCCTGCCTTCTGAGTCCTGGTGTGTTGTTGTTGTTATGTGCTGTGGAGTCGGTTCCGACTCATAGCGACCCTGTACAGGGTTTCCAAGGCTGTAAATCTTTATGGGAGCAGAAAGCCTCATCTTTCTCCCATGGAGCAGCTGGTAGTTTCGAACTGCTGACCTTGAGAGTAGCAGCCCGATTCGTAACCACTACGCTACCAGAGCTCCTCTGTAGCATAAAGCACTGGAGCACAAGGTTGGTTTGAACCTCAAGGTTGGCGGTTCAAAGTCACCAGCTGCTCCTCAGAAACCCTTTACAAGGTGGCTGAGTCAGAAATGTCGTGACAGCACTTAATAACAATTCTGAGTGGGCGCTCGTGGGAGGTTGGTGATCCAAACCCACCAGTCATTTTTGAACAATCATTCTGAATTCTTTGCACACCCTATCCTTCAAATCTGGGAGCCAGTTTGGCAAGGGAGCATCTAAACAATGTAGCACTTTGGTTAGAATTCTGTCATCTTCTGGTGTATCCGAAGGAAAAAAAACTTCGGCCAACAACCCATGCTTGAGATCACTTCCCCAGGCAAGAGCTCCCAATCTTTGTTTTCTGTGTTCTGTAAAGAGAATCCTTATTTCACAATGACGTAGGGGAGGTAAACCCCTTCATTGCCTTGTGTTCTCTGGGATTGTGAATGCTGATTGTTAAAGCCCACGGTCCCTTTCAGGCCCGGATCGTAGCTTCATTTATGAGCAGAAACCATCATGTTCCTTAGGAAGCCAGCACGCTATGTCCCATGGGTCCCTAGATAGTCGAGGCTTTTTCCTTAAGATTCCAATTTCAGAAATGTCAAGCCCTTTTTTTCCTTTTTAGTGTCAAAAAATGGGCCATTATGCCCTCCAGTGCAGACCCACACACCCAGCAGGGTTTATCAGGAAGCAGCCCATGGTCTGGGGGACTGGAAGACCCGTTTGTGAAGACATGGAGTTACTATGGGACGCTCTGTTCCCCATATTCCAGAGCGAGCCCGCTGCCATTCTATACAGCACCCGAGGAGCCGACGGAACTTTCCTTTAGCTTTACTGCCTCCCACCCTGTGAGTGCAGAGACCACTAAAGGTAACAGCAGAGTTGGAGGTGAACTGGCTGAGTGACCGGTGGGGGAAAGGAATTATCCCTGAAGTAACTGGGCAGGATATCCGTTGGACTCACAGCCAGCACGCACGGGAAATACATCATCACTCTGCTTGGCTGGCGCCTGAGCTGGTTGTCAATTCCCGGCTGTAGGCGGCGGTTCTGGTGCGTGTACACAACCTCGTGTGCTGGCAATTAAACCCGATGGTTTTTTGGAGCATGACAGCTGCTTCTCCGCCCTGGCTCATTCTAGGATCTGTTCGTATGTACGTGTGTGTGTTTGGGGGGAGTTGCTGAAGGCTGCTCCGGGGAGGAAGGGCTCACGGAACGTTGGAGGTTCTATCATGCTAGTCTTGGGAGGCCAGAGACCAAGGCAGCTTAAGCCACTTGGAAAGGTGGTGGAGGCTGAGCCGAACCTGCCTGTGGGATTTAGAGAAAAGCACCATCCTAGTGTGACACTGGACTGCTAACCATAAGGTGTGTGGTTCAACCCCCCGCTACCCCCAGCCACTCCATGGAAACCCTAACAGCCGCTGAGTCAGGACGGACTTGACGGCACTTACACTGCCCCAACTAAGGCCAGGACGGGCAGTTGAAGACCACATCATCTGAGACAGATGAAGATGGCTGCCTGGGGCGGCGGGGGCGGGGCAGGCAGCCTGGAAGAAGGCAGGCCCACCCACCGTTACAGGGTCAGCTCTGATGCACAGCCAGCCTAGAGTAGAAATGCTTCCCAAGGCTTCTCACCAGTCTCCCTCGGAAGCAGCCGGTGGGTTCGAACTGCTGTCCTGTGGTTACCAGCCTAACATACAATCCACTATACTCCCAGGGCTCACTGAATGCAGCCAGGCCTCAGTACTGCCCGGAGCTCTAGTACAAGGTGCATAGTCGGCGTCCAAGGAGACACGCTGAACCGGCTGGACGGCGGTGTGGTGCTGGCTGGCAGGAGAGGCTGGAGAACACTGCGGCCATGCAGTTCCTCCCAGACAGGCACTGTTGCAGACCCTGCAGACTTGGTCAGGTGTTTGAGGCCCTGTGGGCCCAAGTGTTGCAGACCATACAGGCCGCAGGCTCTGAGGAACAGACTCTAACCACCTAGCAGTTATACCAAATTGTTTTTCATCTTAGTGTTCAGTTATGTTTATTATTAAACGCAGACATGAAGCCCTAATATCCACAGATAAATGTAAAAACCTCCTAAAGCCAAGGCCTAAAAGCCAAGACTGTAAAATTCCAAACAGGCAAAGTTCTTTCCTCAGAGAATTCATTCAAAGTAAATTGGGTGGCTCCCTGGTCTCTGTTCCAAGGACAATACGAATGCCCGCTCTAAAGTGTTTCCAGGTGCAGCCCATTCACCCAGGCGCCTCTTTTCCTGAAGAACTGGGTCTGGGCAGCCAACACAATGGGAATCCTCCTTTTGATCCCATTTGAGACTAGGTGCTAAAAGGTATGTTAATTAAGCTTGAGAAACCAAGTTGTGGTCATGAGATTCGAACCTGCAAAATAATGTAAAGCTGCCTGAATGTCTGGAAAAGTAAGATTGATAGCTGTAACTCGTCTTAGTCCCGCCCAGCTTTGTGTATAGTTCCTCCCCTAAATAAAACGGAGGCGCAGAACGAATCCAGGAGCATTACGACTGGCAAGGTGTGCGTTACAGCATGCAGGGGGCTCAGTCCAGCCTTGCAACCCTACTGCCTGTTTAGCCAAGATGTTTACTATGCAGGATATTACGGCCTTCCTGGCTGAGATGTTTGCAATGCAGGATCCGCCTGATGCCAGTCCCGCATCCGCTCTGGTTTCGGGGTATCTCTTTGTCTCTCTCTTTGCGTCTCTGTGTCTCTTTTGCTATCCCTATCGTCGCCAGGTATCCCCACCTTGTGAACCAAACACCTATGTCGAGGCAGGTTCTTGGCAAGGCACAATCTCAGATGTCCAGTCTCACCAATCTGCTCATGGGACGCTGTTGTGAAGTGCCGTCAAGTCGGTTCCGACCCATAGCAACCTTGTACAGGGTTTCCGAGGAGCAGCTGGTGAGCTTGAACCGCCGACTTTGCAGTCTGAGGCATTAACCCACAGCGCCACCCCAGGACTCACGGGACGTAGTTACCCCTATTCTGCAGGCCAGAGCACTGAGGCGCCAACAAGCGAGATCACTTGTCCAGCCTCACAGAGTTGAGGCTTGGGAGGACGGGGGTGGTGATGTGGGGGGAACAGCTGTGAGGGGGAGGCTGTGGATAACCTAAATCAGGAGAAAAAGGTTACGCTGTGGCAGCAGTTGGAGTTCCCCAGAAATATAACATAGCGCAAAGGCAGTCTTAACAAAATGGTTTTATTGTTAATAGCAAAGTATTTTAAGGTGTATTAAAAAGTGTACTTTCCCCAGTAGATTGAACCTCTCAAGTATGAACCCCTAAGATGGGCATAAGGCAGGGCACCCCTGTATCCCGAGCATCTGAGTCACAGAGGGCGGACGGCAGACTACTGGGTGGCTGGCATGGACACACACAGCATTGCCATGCACAGACTGGAAGATTCTGCTTACCTGGGAGTTCCCGCCAGGGCCACAGGGGAGGTGCAGCCTGCTGCTGAGGAGACAGGATAGAAGTGCTCAGCACTTGGCCACTTGGGTTAAAGGCTTTCTTGAGGCCTTCCCCTCGGCATGTGGTAGGACCAGGAGCGCTGCTGCCTCACCTGGAAGCCCACCTCTCACCTCATCTGCATCCCATGTGGAAGAGTAGCATCGGTCATTCTGGACGCCGCCTTTCCTCCCTGACGCACAGGACCTGATGGACGTGCACACAAGACCCACACCTGGGTCTTCCAAAGGCGAGTTCACATCCATACGGCAAACGGGAGCCGCGAGGTCTGACGTCCCTTGAGCGAGCTGAGTTTGTCTAGATCTGGAGCCGCTAACAACATTTCTCTACAACTCAAACTACCCCGAACGTTATCCAGACCCATAAAAGGACCTCAATTATTCCCCAACCAGCTGACAGCAGGGAGCAGATGAGGAAGCCCTTGTCCTCTGTGTTTTGTGGAACTTACCTCCATCCGGAATCGGAAGAGATTTCCTGTCATTCTAGTGACAAACCAGTCTCAGTACGTAGTAATGAAAAGATTTCCTAACAGAAGCCATGATCTGCAATAGGGTTATCAGGCACAGAAATTCTGTTTGGAATTGCGGACAAGTCCCAAATTTGTTTCCTCACCCAAAATGTTTCAGAGCAGTGGCCAGGCCCTTTCCCACCCCTGCATCTTCTTTGGGGCCTGAGGGAGCATATTCCTTTAGGATGGGGGTGGGAACACTTGTTCTCTGAAGAGCCAGATAGTATTCTGAGCTTTGTAGGCCATTTATCCGATTTCTATCATGAGTACAGGGCTGGGTTTGGCCTGAGGGCCTTTGCAGTTGGCTGACCTCTGCTTAAGGGGACTGGGGTAAAGAGGACATAACTGGAAGGTTAAATTCTGAGCTCCTCTCACCCCGTTTCTGATCTATAGAAAGATAAAAGGGGAGGGACAAGGAGAAGGACAGCACATGGACATACACAGGGTCCTGTAAGGGCACAGAGATGGTAAGAGGGAGTGCTGGGGGGACACTCTAGGATAAGCACTAGACCGCAAGGTCAGTGTGATCCACAGGTTGGCGGTTCAAAGTCACCAGGTGCTCCTCAGAAACCCTATTCTAGGCCACTGACGGAGTTGGAACCGACTTGACAACAGCACTTAACAAAGGAATGACAAGAACTGCCGACCTGGCAATGAGCAGCCCCCACGCTTAGCCCGCTGCACCACCAAGGCTGCTGCTGTTCGTAGAGATTCTGCGATGTCAGAGTTCACACTGACAGTTTGTAACTTGTTATTTCTCATATCCCCCCCTTCCACCGAGACTTTTTCCTGATGTAGAATTCTAGTATCGAGGAGACATTTCTCAGTCACCCATCTATTGCAGAATTAAGTGACTCCCACTGGGGACAATGAGAGAAGGGAAGAACAAGCGAGGGGGCCAGGAATAGAAAACGTAGTTAACGCCGAAGGTAGAACTGATTCAAGTTTGGGGAAGATAGAAGGAAGTCACGCAGGTGTAAATGCATCGGGGCCATGGAGTGGCATGCCTGTTTGCAGGGCAGAGGGAGGCCACACGCCACCCAGGCTGGCCTCCTGACCGCTGGGCTGAGGTGGTCAGGCAGGCAGAGCAAAGCCGACAGCCAACCCCCGCTCCTCTACCCACACTATCTAGGTTTGGTTAAGAGCGCCTCTTTCCACATCCAGGCTACTCTCTACCTTAGAGGGTCAGAGGCGGGCTCATCAAATGAGGAAGCACTGAGAATTTTCATGGGGCAGGAGACGGGGGATTTATAAGGCTGTGTATGCATTTCACTGAAATTCCACTTGAGGGATGGAATGGGACTCTGAAAAGTTTCTAGGGAGAGAATACGAAGAAACTATTCACTCTTATTCTCAAGAAGCAGAGCAGGTAGTTAATACTGTTTAGTGTGCAATTTCATTTCAGTTCGTGAAGGGCCATGGGTAAGGGCATTCCATGGGTCCCTTCAACTCTGAGTCCACCCGACTCTGTCTTCAGTCTTTGTTCGGCATCAGTCCGACCTGGTCAAGGACCGGAGGGTGCTCCAACAGTCCCAAGGGGAAGGCCTGTCGAGTCATAACTTGTCCTCTATCGGTGTGTTGGGAGGCCTGGTGTGGCACTGGACTGATAACCACAGGTTAGCAGTTCAACCCACCAGATGCTCTTGGGAAGCCTTATACAACAATCAGTATATCCAGAGTCCTGGGGTGGTGCTGTAGGATAAGCACTGGACACTGGACTGTGAACTCTAAGGTCGGTGGTTCAAACCCTCCAGCTGCTCCTGGGAAACCCTGTACAGGGTCGCTGTGAGTCACAACTGACTCAATGACACTTGACATTAACAACGATCGGTATATTCGGAATCCTGGTGTGGCGCTGAAGGCTACAGTACTCGACTGCTAATCGTTTAAGGTCATTGGTTCAGACCCAACAACTGCTCCTTGGAACTCCTGTAGACGGATGCTGTGAGTGGGAGCTGACTCGAGGGCACTCAACAACATCGGTATACTTGCAGCTGAGCATCTTGTCTAGAAGAATGGTGAAACCCCAAGCTTTAGGAGACAGTTTTAAGGAGAAAGACTTAAAATCGAGGTCCTGGTTTTTACTGTGAATTGAGAAAATAGCTAGTTACAAACTGTCACAGTGAACTCAGTCATTTCCGGGTCTCCAACAGCAGCGTTGGTGGTGCAGTGGGTAACCGCTGGGCTGCTGACCGCAGAAGAATGATGAAGCTGAAGCTATCGGCTTCCATCAAGAGGCAGCCTTGGGACCCCCGGGAACACCTCTACGGTCGATGGTCTACTGGTGAGTCACCAAAACCGGAGCTGTTTGAGAGCAAGCCAAAGAAACACTCAAAACCCGATCTGTCCAAAGAAGCGTTTTACTGTCTACAGAATTGTCTTCAGTCCCCATCATTTCACTCCGCACTTTAACGGGTCTGCTGGCGTTTCCATCGCACTCCTGGGGTCCAGCGCTCGCTTCCAAGGTGTCCTGAGTCGGCACTACTTACGCCAGCGCTGCAGCTCTTTGGGGAAACAGAGAGAGACGTGAGGCCCGGGAGGCCACTGCTGCCTTGCCTGGCTCGACCCATCAGGCCACTGTACTCTGCTTTGTAAACTTAGACTTATTGGAAAGGTACGGACGAGAAGCTCTGGGTCACTTTCCTGAGTTTTAATTTAGAGATGTGATTGGTAAGGTCAGGTCTAAAAGGACTCGATCCGTTCCACTCAGGTGAACCTTGGGGGGCAGGCAGGCCTTTTTTCTGAGGGAGCAGTGACTCAGGTCAGGGCTCCCCACCAGTGCAGAGGACCCGTATGTTCTCAACAACCACCATGTCGCCTGTGCCGCTGCCATCTGCCTTTCCTGGTCAGGAGGCACGGAATGAGCAAACCTATACAGAGAGCCAAATCTCGACTTCTCTGGAAGTTGTTCCCGGTTTGCGGGTGACGATGGCCTTTGGTGAGCACAGGAGCCCGATGGTGCAGAGGTGCAGCCCTTGGCGGTTTGAACAGACCAGCTGCCCCTCAGGAGAAAGATGAGGCAGCCCTTTCCCGCAAAGACGTGCAGTCACGGACACACTCGGGGGCAGTCGTGTCCTAGCCTAGCAAGTGGGTCGCTGAGTGGGAATGGACTGCCAGCAGTGGGTTGGGTTTTAGCGCTCTTTATACCAAAAGTTTCATATGAAAATGTTTGCGCTTTTTTGATATCCTGCGAAGGACATAAGGAGCTCTGGTGGTGTAGTGATTAAAGTGCTTGACTGCTAACCCACACCGTTAGCTGTTCAAATCCACTGACTGCTCCACAGAAAGGAGGCCACGGACAGCCTGTGGGGCCTGGAGCAATGCCATGTTGGGGAATTGACTTGAAGGTAATGGGGTGGGCTAAGGAGAACACAAGCTATTCGAGCTTAAAAGAGAAAGATAATGTGGGTATTTTCCCTGTGATAAGTCTGGGTGCAAGCTACAAAGTTAATACCAGTGGGGGTGAGTTAAAAAGTCACAGTGGATTACTCGGAGACAGACGGAGGAGAGCAGCTTTGGCTTGTCTGTCTCTTTTGGAGTAAAGAGAGCCGTTTGGTTTCTGAAAAGCAGTTCAGAGGCAGGGATTAAAGTCACCCAGGAGGGGACAAACCCTGACCTGCTACAGGGAGACAGCATTAAGGCTCACAGCCGTCACCATCAGCTCTCCACTACACCGAATGGCGCACAAGGCCTATTATGTCTCAGCCAAGTCTTATAAAATCCACTACAACACCAACCTCGAAACCAAAACACCCCAGGGCCCTATGCCGTGCCTCATTCGCAGAGGCAGGTCAGACACAGCACAAATGTCCTCTAACAAGCCACCCAGAAGCCTCCCTGGAGGTCCCTTCAGGGACGAGCCCCGTCATTTAGGGTGACTGCACTGAGGGGCTTACTGAGGTTCCGGAAGCTCCAGCTCCAGCAGAGGCCGAAGTACCCAGTGAAGAGCACCGAGATGCCACCAACGCCGTTCCTCACACTGCTGCTACACCGGCTCCACCCTGCCGAGAGAGAAACACAAGGCTGGCTTAGGCCTGGACAGTAATCCAAGACGCCACAGTTCAGACACGGAATTGATGGACAAAGTCTGAGAATCGAGCCCAAGCCACGACACAGTGGAGCCCTGGGCACCACGGGTTTGACCAGCACAGTCCACTTAACTCGTACAGCATTGGTTCCTTCTTGTGGCACCGTAGGATAAGCGTTTGGCTGCCAACCACATGGTGGGCAGTTCAAACCCACCAGCTACTCCTCAGAAACCCTTGGAACTGACTCACGGCACCTTAACAATGGTGGTGAGTTGAAGTGGTGTAGCTGCTTACGAAGCAGCAGCATCAGGAAGAAGTCACTGGAGAGACCCTCTCATGTGGAGACCACGAGCAGCACACGGGGCTGTAAGCGGACACTCGCCATGTTTGAGCTCACTGCCGTAGCAACGGGGAAGCGTCTGTTCTAAGTGGACTGCGCAGCTCCAATGCGTGTTGTTCAAGGGCCAACTGTACAGACGAAGGGGCTTCAGAAGAGCTTGTGGGAAAATTCCATGATGTTTCCATTCCATATTCCACAATCTTTCTGAAACCCCCATGGATATTTGAAAACAGATGAAAAGGTGCATCCAGAATCAGTTAGATACACTTGCTTTTTTGGGGGGTGGGGGGCTGGGTTAAAATGGTTACCATGTGTATTGGTTACCTTGAGATGTAGGGTTTTGGTGGCTTTGGAAGAAGGCATGTCAACATGGGCAAAGGAGAGATGGAGGTGGGAATTCAGGATGGAAAGCTGTCCCAGCTATGGGAGCTGCTATGACGTTATCCTTGGCACTTTCCTTTCTAGGATGTCAAACTCCGTAACACACACAGACAAGACTACAACTTGTTTCTCTGTTCTTTAGCCTCAGGGTCAAGAGTCATGGCTGAAGGAAGAGAACCGTCACCCCAGGCTTGGAACCAGCATGAGACACAAAAGTCAAGAGGTCCGGCCTCACCTTTCTGAAGAGCTCCCAAGAGCCTCATTAGAGAGAAGCCGGAGGTTGAAAGCCAGGTCGGGGGTTCCAAGATCCTTCTGTCAGTTGGACGTCTTTCCAACAAAGGGACTAGGGTTCCAAAGAGAAGTTGCTGTGATCGTTCATGTTATTGCATCCCCTCCCCCCACATTCGGTGTTAAAGGGTCCCAGGGCAAGCGAGGCCTCAGGAAAAAGGGGATTCATGCGGTGTACTCTGGACTGCTGAAAGTCAAAGCAATCTATTCTGGGTCACCCAAGGCCCTCTGAAGGCTGGGGGAGTCTCGGGATCAGGATCAATGCACACTTTGGGTGTGATGGATCTATCGAAGGCAGGAATATACTAGTCCGTGCATATGTTCCACGGGATGACCAGCTTATATCTGCTGAATATTTTAGTCAAAAACATGACTTTCTACTACTGTCGTGTTAACTGCTGCACTGACTATTCAATCACGGTACTGGCAAGGAATACTGAGTACAGCTCGGACCGCTGGAAGAATGAACAAATCTCGTTGGATTTGTTGGACCAATCAGAATGTCTGTATTAGTGAGGATGGGAAGACTCCATCTCGTGCACTTTGGACACGTTTTCTGGAGGGACCAGTCCCTGAGAAAGGCAGCATGCTTGGTAAAGGATCAGACATTCAATGAGATGGTCTGATGCCATGGCTGCAGAAACGTGCTCAGTCGGGCACTGTTGCCTTCGGTTGTTCATGGAGCTGTTGAGTTGAAGTCACCCTGACGACACCACACAACAACACTGCTACAAGTCACTACTACCTACAGTCAGTCTGACTATTATTTCTGGGTGTTGTCAAGACGAGTCCGACTCACAGCAAGCCCACGTGACAGCAGAGTTTTCTAGGCCGTCATCTTTACAGGAAGATGGCCAGGTCAGGTCGGTCTCCCTTGGGGCTGCTGGATGTGTCCACACTGTCAACCTTTCAGGTAGCACCACCACGGCTACGTTCATGTCTGCTAGCCCACCACTATAGTGTCTGGCCAAACACTTGGCAGTTATGTTTAATACGTGAAGAACTGAAACAGAGCCAGGAAGGTGAGCTGATGCTACTTTTATATGCTACTTATATTTCTCTGCATGTTTGACAATGGGCAGCCATTCTCTATGATGGCTGGGTCTCTGGTCTTACTTTGATTCCTCAGAATAAAGGATAAATTAAGCAAATACTTCTGACAGCTTTCAGCAGGTACGTAGGTGTGAAAACCACGGTCCAAATGATCATCATACTAAACAGCGGAAGAAGCATGCTGGTCTCTGGGGACTGACACATACTTCTCTTGCAAGAGGAGGACACTGAAGACCCTGACTGGGCTTAACTCACCTAGGAAAATGTCTGGGAGAGATGGGGAGAAACAAGCCCACGAAAATGGGCCCCAGACTAGGCCTCGCCCAGCAGAGTCCGGATCCGCGGGACTTCCTGTCTAGCCAGGGAAACCTGTTTATCTGCAGCTACCGGGTCAGTCAGACTGGTCAGTGTGAGTTGGGGTCTTCTATACAGTCCTCGTCCTACAGAGGCCACGCCAATACCCAGGTAAGCTGTGACTGCTCATTTCAATGCTGTCTCGTCTGCTGCCCACACACTGTGGGTTCTCACCTAGGTCCCTCACAGCCTTACTGGGTCCCAACCCTTGGGCAGCCTGTGTGCCCAGAACTGCTAACACACAGCCTCACCCCTGCCGTCTCATTTCCTTCACCAGCTGGTGCCAGCGCCCTCCCACTTCACCCCCAGCGGACTCAGTCAAGCCTCCAGTGACCCTCTACATAGCCCCCGGACCTCTGAAACACTCTACCCTCTGGGAGAGTCAGAATATCAGGTGTAGAACTTGACTTACCCCTTTCTTGACTACAGGTAACTCACATGCTGTTTTCCTAAAACACTCCTCTGGCTAAGGGACCCCTCCTGGCTTGTTACCTCCCTAGCCCCAGTGTTTTGAGCCCAGCACGTACGCCATCTCACTGCTGAAGACTTATTATGAGGAGTGTGTTTAAACAAAGAAACAAAAACCACAAACACACTGCCACAAACACACAAAAAACAAAAGCCCACACACCCACTGAGTGGTTTCCAGCTCCGAACCACCTCACAGGCCAGAGACTTGCTCCTCTGGGTTTCTAAGAGAGTCAGTTTCTCAGGAGCACATAACCCCATCTTCATCCCTGTAAGTGGCTGCTGGGTTTGAACCACTGACCTGGCTGTTGGCAATGTTCAAACACAGACGGTAATGTTTTCTTCTGTTGTAATGGGGCTGCTGAGCTGGAGTTGACCAGACGGCACCAAACAACACGGCTACAGGTCACTACCATCTACAGCCAACCTGTCTCCTGCTATCATCGGTGGCTGCTCCTGATACTCGGGGCTCCTTGAATGGGGGTGCAACAATTAGAAACACCCACACATGAGCAGGCGCATCCAACATGTGTGTCTTTACTGATGGCGTGTGTTCTACAACATGGGTTAACAAAAAAGGATTCAACCAGACCTCAGACACCAGCTCCGACACATTTTTCTGCTGCACACAGATTCGGAAGGTCTTTAGGTCTTCTGTCAAAATTAATCTGACAACACCAAAGAACACAACACTTCTCTGCGGAGACGTGCTAATGAATCACAGTACTGGTTACAGAATGTGAGCCACAAGGTCAGCGGTTCAAACCCACCAGCACCTCCATGGAACACCTGTACAGGGTCGCTATGGGTCGGAACCGACTTGATAGCACTTAACAACAACAAGGAAGCTTAGGGTTCAGGGAAAAAAAATCTACTTTTCTTCCTTACTCAATCGCATAGGACTAAATGCTACTTTAGCTACAACCACCTGGAAAACCTACAAAAAATCCAGTTTCCTGGCAAGGGAAATGAACAAACTGCATATAATTCTAAATTGAGATGGTCCAATAAGGGACAATGAACTTTCACAGGAGACCATGAGAAATTTCTTCGTTCCCCAGGGAACCTCATTCTGGCCCACTGATAACCTGTTCTGGTCACTAACAAGTGGTATCTAGGATGATCTGGGAGAGGTTGATTTTCCAGGAGACTGGTTTTCACGATCCGAGCTGCCGTGGCTGTCTTCCTCCCTCGGCAGCTGAAACCCTGCCCTGCTCCCCGTTCCTCGTTCCTCGGTGTTGATAGACCTGGTTTCCAGCACCATCAGGGCCAGTCTGCACTCGGAACAAAGCACTCGTTCTACTTCGGTGGATTGACGCTCTTCCTCAGTTTGTCTAGCTTAAGTTTCCATCCAATTTCTATTACTCATGCTTCTTCCCAACGTAGAAACTCAACTGCTACCAACCCTCCGCCCAGTCCAGCGCCCACCTCTTGGAAAGGGAGAGTAAGAAAGCTCCGCCAGCGGCTCTGCAGCAGAAAGTCCGAGATCAGTGCAGCACAGTGCACGCATGACCCCAGAGAAGAACAGCTGAGGGAGTGCAAACGCCAGCACTCAGAACCTTCTTGACCCAACAGGCCCCCGAGTAAGCAGGACGGGCAGACACACCCTGGAAAATGAGCTGGCTTACCTTGTGGGAGCCTTTCCCCCCTGGGACGGAGGAGCTGAGGCTTTTGGGCCATAGCATTCCAATACTGAGGTTTCCCTGGCAACAGCCTGAGTCCAAGATAACCAGGGTAGAGCTCTGGAAACCACTCCAGCCCCATGGCGCAGGGGTGGGCCCGGCTATCAGTAGCATCAACAGGACTGGTGACGGGAATCTGAGAAGTGTGGTGCCAGCTGGGATGGAGAGGTGGCTGGTATCCAGTGGGAAGCGCCTGGCCCTGATGGGCAGCTCTGGGCTCCAGAGAGGCTTGTCCCTCACGCCCCATGAGTGTCTGTAGAGCAGGGACCTGATGAAGACGGCAGCCTCCTGCTCGCTCTTCTTGAAGAAACCGTAGAGCCAGCGAGGTGAGACTTGGATGTCCCGACTCTGATACAGCCAGGGGCTCACTGAACACTGCCCCCCTTGGAGCAGCCAGGTTTCCACTCGGACCCTCATCTTGAGACGCGTTCTCTGCGGCAGAATCAGCAGCCCTGGGCTTCCTCTTGGGGTTACAGCTCCTAAGAGAGCACACCTGTGCTTCTTGCACAGACTGACTTTTCTCTGGGCTCCCTCTGTTCCCACGAGCCTCAAAGCCAAGAAGTCCTCGTTCCTTCAAGGCAAGCGTGACCGCCTTGCTCTCCTCAAGTCGGGTTTTACCTGATGGGCTGACTCCGAGGCCTGAAAGAAGTGACTCTGTGTTCTTCTCCTGAGTCTCGCGATATCTTACAGTGGTGGGAATTCCTGAGCACTCTGGGCTCTTTCTGGGTTTGGGCTCTTTCTCCTTTTGTGACAATGACGTTCTGACTGTTTTAACCCCATGGCTGGGGTTCACAGAACTAGGATAATCAAGAGGTACATCTAACGGTCTGACTAGCAGCTCCTGTCTTGGGAGATCAATTTTGTCCAATTTCAGATTCGTAGAAGGGGCGTGCACATGCCCAGGTAAGCCTGAAGAATGTTTTCCATCTTGATTTGGTGAAAAGGGTTCCACTGGAATGGGAAGGAGCAGTACAGATGTTTCTATTTCTGAAGGATTGCTTCTGCTGTCCCTTAATTTAGGCCAATCTCTGTCAAGTTCTCTTTGAAGAGAGATGTTCTCAGATGCATAAAACTGAGCCTTAGTCTCTCCCGGGAGCGTTTTCTTAGGTGTAGCAGTTTTTAACATCTGAAGGGAGAGTGGAAGTTGACTCTTGCTGTGTTTCTCTGTCTTTTCATTACTTACTGTGCCCATGCCTAGTAGTGCAAGGGGTTCCTTTCTTCCTTCTGGTTTGTTTGTTATCAACTTGGTATTTCTGTTCTCTCTCTCGCTATCTAAACTGGTCTCTTTAGCTTTGAGTAAGTGCTTGACCGGCCCCTTCCTTTTCTTGGCCAGAGAGAGGACAGCTGGCTTGGATGGACAGACGTTCTGATCAGCAGGTAAGGCTGTTCCATTCATCTTACAGAATGGCAAGTGGGATTTCAGTCGTTTAAATGACTTCTTACAGTGGGGACAAACTTCCAGCCGGGGTGGACTGTCACTCATCCTCATCCTAAAAAAAAGCAAATGTCAGATTAGGTAGATCACAGAATTTGTTGATTAAGATGCTAATAAAATGATCTATTATGTACCTTTTCTATTAATTCAGGACAAACTGAGTTGAAGGAAAATTTTAAAATAACAAAAGAAAGTGAGACAAACAAACAAACAAAAAAACCAAGACATGGTTTATGTACTGTATTTCACACTTCTTTAAAGGAGCTCTGGTAGCGTAGTGGTTATGAATCGGGCTGTGAACCACAAGGTCAGCAGTTTGAACCTATCAGCTGTTCCACGGGAGAAAGATGAGGCTTTCTGCTCCTGTAAAGATTTACAGCCTCGGAAACCCTACACAGGGTCAGTAGGAGTCAGAACCAACTCCACAGCACATAACAACAAAATTCTTCTAGAACTCAGTGATATAAGAAAACAGATAATTTTCAACAACCTTCACCCTATCACCACTGAAGTATTTATTTTAATGAAATACATGGTGAATCATTGAATGTTTATAATGTGTGATTGAGTTCAATAAATGTTACATGGGACACTTATGTTCCACTGGACTCTGGTGGATGGATTGGGGGGTGGGGATGAGACATGGAAAAAAAGGTTCACTTGATTATTACCTAACTTGAAACATCACACCTTCCCACTGAGAGCCTCAAGTTTCCCACAATCCAGATGCATTGCCTCATACAGTAACTTTTCAACACAACAAAGTGCCCCACACAACACAGTGCTACGGGTTCAAGCACCAACACCAGCATGTACCGTGCGTGGGAAAAAGGCCTGCCGAGAAAACCCCAAAATGGGAAACAGAAGTGGTCCTTACATGCACCGCGGGTTATGAGAGGATAAGAAAGAAGGCGGAGACAAGGCCAAAAGATGTGGGTCTAAGAAATTAATGGTTAGAGGAAAAGACGCTCAAAATACCAGTCAGAATAAAAGGTTCACTACTGAAGATTATAGCAAGTCAACGGAGGATGGTACCAACATAAAGAAACTAGTAAAAACCTTTGAACACACACATACACACAAAACCCTGGACCCCAATTCTCAAGGGCAGAAAGGAGAGGAATAAAAACTCAGGTCCGGATTTGAAGGCTGTCGACTTAGAGCAGTGGTTTTCAACGTGTAACCACTGGGATGCGAAAAGACAGTATTAGAACTATCATTTGTATTTATTATTTAAAACAAGAAATGAAGTTCTACTAGTGCAGTACAAGGCCGGCGGTTCGAACCCACCAGCTGTTCCTTGGGAGAAAGATGAGGTTTTCTGCTCCCACAAAACCCTACACAGAGCAGCTAAGAGTCGGAACCGACCCGACAGCACTTAACAACAACTAATATTTAGCATGTCAGTAACACACACACATACACTAGGGAGCTTCAGAAAGTCTGCAGAAAAATTCCATTAATTCCACTAACTTTTGAAGCCCCCTTGCACATTCACCCAAACTAAAAGCCAAGCCCACTGCCTCTGAATTGACTCCAATTCCTAGAGACCCTGTAGGACACAGTACAACTGTCCCCTAGGGTTTCCAGGTGTGGAAATCTTCACAGAAGCAGACTGCCACATCCTTCTCCCTTGGAGCAGCTAGTGAGTTTGAACTATCAACCTTTTAGTTAGCAGTGAAGCACTAAACCACTGTGCCACCAAGATTCCTATATGTTCTTAAGTGCTGTGGAGTCGGTTCCGACTCATAGCAAACCTGTATTGGGTTTCCAAGGTGTAGCTGGTGGGTTTGAACTGCTGATCTTGTGGTTACCAGTCTAGTGATTATCTTATAGCATTACACTGGGAGTCCAGGTTTTTAAATTTATTTATATATATACATACACACACACACACACACACACACACACATATATATACACACACACACACACACACATATATATACACACACACACACATATATGTTGTTAAGTGCTGTCGAGTCAGTACCGACTCATAGAGACCCTGTATAGAGCTTCTGAGGAGCAGCTGGTGAACTTGAACTGCCAACCTTGAGGTTCAAAGCAGCCTTGCAGTCCAGCGCATTAACCCACAGCGCCACACCAGGGCTGTCTGGCTGTGGAGCTCTGGTAGTGTAGTGGTTATGAGTCGGGCTGCAAATCCCATGGTCAGCAGTTCGAAACTACCAGCGGCTCTGCAGTGGGTCACTATAAGTCAAAACCGACTCCACCGCACATAACCACCATCATATATGTATGTTTGTGTGTATGTATACATACACACACACACACACCCCAAAACCAAACTCAGTGCTGTGGACTCAATGGTTTTGAGACTGTGATCGTTACAGGAACAGACAGCCCTCAGCCTTCTCCTGCAGAGCAGCTGGTGAGCTAGCGACCCAGTGCTTACCCCACAGCACCACTAGGGTTCCTTATGTGTACACTATTGTGAAGTGCAGTAGAGTCGTTTCCGACTCATAGCGACCCTGTATAGGGTTCCCAAGGAGCAGCTGGTGGGTTTGAACCGTCAACCTTGTGGTTATCCTACAGCACCACATAAGGGCTCCATATATAAACATATGCAGACGTAGATAAAATGTACGTATAGTGTACATGTAGTGGTTAAGCAACAACCACCTGTTGGCACAGAGTGAACCGTGTGTCCCCCCAAACTATGCATCTGGAGTTACGTAATGAATGTAGTCATGTGGCAGTTATGCGATGACCCCATGATGGATCTGATGGAATAAACGAATAAAAGGGCTAAGGGTGGGCTGCTACACCCTTAATCCCATCGCCGCCCTATCTGATGTGTGGCCTGCTGTACCTTTTATCTTAGAAGAGATCAAAGGAAAATTGACCAGAAGAGGGACCTCTACCACCAAGCAAGCAGAGCCAGGAGTGGAGTGCATCCTCTAGGCCTGGGCTCCAGGCGCTGTGAAACTCCTGTGCCTAGTTAAGACAGATACACGGAGATCTGCAAGGAAGGCTGGGCCTACAGATCCTGACTAGAGACAAGGGCCATTCTCTGGAGCCAACACAGAGAGGGGCTTCCCCTAGAGCTGGTGCTCTGAATTTGGACGTGGAGGCTCCGTACTATGAGAAAATAAACGTGTTATAGCAGCACTGAAGAACGAAGACATCTGCTAAGCAGGTTTTCAGTTTGCATCCATCCACCAGTCGCTTCATGAAAGAAGTGGCAGTTTGCTTACAGCTTTAGAAACCCTATGGGGTAGCTGTGTTCTGTCCTACAGTGTCCCTAGGAGTCCGAATGAACTCAATGGCAGGAGATTTGGTTTGGGGATTTTTTATAGTGAATATGTCCACAGGGAAGGGCATGGACCTACATCTTCTGGCTGATGAGTGGACTGTCGGTGCATTAGTCCAGCTTGGTATCTTTGTGAAATGTACACAAGAAATGATCGGTACCTCTCCATTCTTCTCCAAAGCCATCAGGAAAAGGAAACGTTTCATTCCCAAGCCCAGCTCAAAGTTCTTTCTGGGTTTTACTTTTCTGATTTCCATAAAGTTCCCAGGGAGAGAGTTCACGTGTGCCTTGAGCTCTGCTGTCCCCTTAAATCCTATCACTGAGCCTGACATGTATTTGTTCAGTACATGCTTTCTCTAGAATAAGTTCTTCCAACTACTCAACGGGTAGAAAAATTAAGACTTACAAACAATTTACAAGTTAAATAGCTAGCAATCCTTTGTCAAACCGTTTTTTTAAGCAAGCAACCTACTTTATTCTACATCAGGTCAGGTAAAACAAAGCTGTATTTTCTGCCAATAGTCTTTCTGAGGAGCTTGTAGGATACGCACTGGACCACAAGGGCAGTGGCTCTAACTCACTGGTCACTCCTTGGAAACTCTACACCGGGTCGCTATGAGTCCATTCCCCGACTGGACGGCATCTAACATCAACTAGAGTCTCACTTTTTCCGAGGCACCAGGATGACAGTAAAGGAGCTCCAGTATCGTAGTGTTTGCAAGTCGGACTGTGAACCTCAAGGCCAGCAGTTCAAAACTACCAGCCGTTCTGTGGGAGGAAGATGAGGCTTTCTGCTCCCTTAAAGATTTACAGCCTCCGAACTCCTAGGCAGGGTCGCTATGAGTCGAAACCGACTCTGCAGCAGGTGACCACCATCACCACTATGATGACAGTTAGGACCTTTAGTTACAATTCACAGCCTTGAAACCACGTCCACGGATGGACCCCAGAGCAACAAATTTGGAAGAAAGAGGCGAGCTCTACTACAGGTTTCTCCCCCCGACCCCGAGACCCACTGTTAAGATCTCCAACAACTTCCTAACCCCCACACTTCACGGTCACGGTCCCCGGAGTTCCGCAGATTCAAAAGTAGAGTCTGATGTCGGCCTGTATTAGACACAATCAGAGCAGAACCTCGACAGGGCGCACACACGGGTGCATGGTCCAGAAACAAATACAATCGGTGCGTTCCAGGGCAGTTCCACTATGATGACCTGGAGAGCCCAGGTCAGACCTGACCGGCCTCCTCCCATCGCAGTAGCGGGAGTCCTGGGGTGGCGCTGGGAGTTAATGCATTGAACTGCAAAGTCGGTGGTTCAAGCACACCAGCCGCCCCTCGGAAACCCTGTACAGTCGCTATAAGTCGGAACCGACTCGACGGCACTTAACATCAGTAACAATCGCAGTAACCGGAGTCCTGGGATGAGTTAATGCGCCCGACCGCAGTCGTTTGAACTACAAGGTCGGCGGTTCAAGCTTAGCTGCTACTCCCGGGAAACCCTATACAGGGTCGCTACGAGTCGGACTTAACAATAACTGCAACAACATGCTCGCCCTCCAGATTCCGGAAAGCTGCCCCGCCGCTTCCTGCCGGGTGGACCGAGACCGCCGAGCACTTCGGTGTGGGCGCGGGGGGAGCTGGTTCTCCGCGCTCCGGGATGCCCCTCTGTCCGGCCCCGGGACCCCACCTGCTCCTCTCTCACCCAGAACAGTCTCTCCCAGGTGTGTTTGGAACTTACCCCAGAACGGCGTCCTCAACATTTAAACGTCCCGGAAACCCCGGCAACAAGCCCCTCAGGGCAGCCCCACGAGCCCCGTTCCTAACTCCCGGTCCCGGACCCTGGCAGGCTGTCTCCACAACTCCCTGATCGCTCTCAGCTCTATTTAAAAAAAGTTACCACTCAGGGATGTACTTCAAATCTCTGTGTAAAATGACGATGATGTAATTTAATTTAATTTATACGTGGCTTGACTTTCAGGTTGTTTGCCTATTCCATAAACAGGCAAAAGCTCGGGCCAGCTCTAATGAGGTCCACTTTCCCAGAAGCCCCCTATCGCTCCTCCCTCTCCGAGCCAGCCTCTTCTTGTGGGCGTGGTTAGCGCTCGGCGCGTCCGGGTTCGCGCCACTGCGCAGCCGCGAGAGGGCGGGGCCACGACGGCTGCGACATGGGGGGGCGCGGAGGGGACGCCGGAAGTAGCGGTGGTACGGGTCCTACCGAGGGGTACTCACCGCCGGCAGCGTCCACCAGAGCGGCGGCGAGAGCCAAGGCCCGAGGGGGTGGGCGTGGCGGCCGCCGAAACGCGACGTCCTCCATTCCGTCTTCTCGTGGATCAGCGCCGGGTCGCTCCCCTCCACCAGCTGCCATGAGCGAGCGCCTCCGCCCCAGGTGAGAGAAGAGACCTCTTTCCTTCCTAGTCTCTTGCCTGGAGATCTGGGGGACACATCCGAGGGGGGGGTCACACGAAGCGGGGGTCCGAGCGAGTGTGGACATTGTGGGAGGTCTCCTCTTGGGCTGATCGGCGGTCCGGTGGAGGAGAAGGGATGCGCGAGTGATCAGACACCTGGTCACTGTGGTTAGCAGGAGGAGTGACCCTCCAGGGTCCAGATCGCCCGTTTCCATATTTCTCTCCTTGTTTTTCCTTTTTGGGACTAAAGTCTGGTCAGTTCAGGGAGAGAGAGAGACTGTCCCAAATTTATGAGGGTGGGGGGATGGGAAGCATCTTGGTCAAGGAACCGGCCCGGGGAGCTGGCGTCTCCCCAAGGTCAGAAAGAAGGATTAGGCTGATCCCGAAGCACTTGTGCCCGGAAGCCGGTGAGCACAGAGCGCCGGTGGCCGTGGTGGGCGATGGAGCCTCCCTTGCTGCAGCATCGGGTTCTAAACTGTTAGGACGCCGAGCCGTTTGGCTCCGGAGGCGGGAGGTAGGATGGTATCGGGAGGCACTACCCTGAAACCACGCCTGGCCCCCGGACGGCGCTCCGAACTCAAGGGTTTAACGATAGGGCAAGCCGGAATTTCTTGATTCCCTTACCCCGCTTTTTTCCCTCTGCCAGAAGGTGGGGAGCTGCAAGTTGGGATTGGGTATCCACAATGAAGAGGCTCTGTTTCACTTGAGAAAAAAACGCTTATCTTGGAATTTGTAGTGAAAACCTAAAGATCACCAAGCCCACTCCTTTTCATTTTCCTGAAGAGAGAGATGTAGAGATCAGTAGATTTACCTGTGCCTCCCCAGGTATGCTGGTCTTTTTCTTGACTCTCTAATAAACCAAACCCAACAACGTACAGCCATTGAGTTGGTTCGGTGAATAGCAACCCTGCATAAGTTTTCCAAGACTAAATCCAGACCAGAGCAGTTCTTGTTTGAAGCTACTGGTGGGTTTGACTCACTGACTTTGATAAGCAGTCAAGAGCTCATCCTACAGCGTGCCCTGGGCTCCTTTTATCCCATAATATTGTTGTTAAGTGTGCTGTCAGTTGGTCCCTACCCATAGCAACCCTGTGTAGGGTTTCCGAGGTGAGCTTGAACCGCCGACCTTGCAGTTCAGACGGCTTTGCAGTCTGCCGTATTAACCCACAGTGCTACACCAGGACTCCTTATCCCATAATAGTGAGGCAGAAGTACGTAAGTTTGCCTTGGTAGATGGCGTTGGAGTCATGCTTTCATTGGCACGGAATGTAGTCTTTCAGTGAGGACCCTGTTTTGGACCACTCAGGGAATTGGGATTTTGGCTTCCTGAGGTTATATATAGAAGACTTTCATAGTCATAATCTAGGGTTCTCTAAGCGGCTGCACTGTAGTGCATGGGACATAAAGTCTCTACTTGCATAGAGCAGAAGCGTGGATACATCTGAAATTAAGGGTCCAATGTCCAGCATGCTATGGCATTTGGGAGTCCTGCTGTGGCTCTGAGGGAAAATGCACTGGACTGAAAGGGCTTTTGAACCACCAACCTTTCGGTTCAGACCAACTTTGCAGCCCACCGCATTAACCCACAGCGCCACGCCAGGACTCCGCTGGAAACTCTATACAGGGTCAGTATGAGTGGGAACCGACTCAACAGCACGTAACAACCCCAACAGTGGGAACTGGAGACAGGACTCAGAGTAATGAGCCTGTTTGGACTGTATGGTTTTGCTCATTCCAGGTCCGATCTGTACTTCTGATACTTCTTTTGGAGTGTCTGGAAAAAAGTCCAACCACTTCCTACAAATAGGATTCCTTTTGCCCAGACCTGTACACAAATACAGTGTTTATACTGGTAGCAAATTCCTTTGATCTAGATACACATAATTTGAGCATGCGTAGACCGGTAACAAAAAAGCAACTGTTTGATTTGGACAGGCTTTCCTCACCGGTGTCACGTGGGGCACAGTGGTCTCCCCACCAGTGTCACGTGGGGCATGGTGGGCCAGCTCTGTCAGCTGTAGCGCCTACATCTCTGCAGGTCACCTCACTTCCCTAGGTCTGTTTCCTCAATTTTCAGATGAAGGGTTGGTCTAGATAGTGTTTTTTCAGACTGCACCAGGCTGTCGGCATGGATGTGGAGGGGTAGGTGTGTGGTCACCCAGCTCCTACTTTAACTACAGCAGGTCCTGTTGTTTTGTTAAGTGCTGTTGACTCGATTCCAACTCATAGTGAACTCTGTATAGGGTTTCGGAGGAGCAGCCCTTGTGGGTAGCAGTCCAGTGCCGAGCCCACAGCACCACACCAGGAGGCAGGTCCTGGCTTTAGCCCTCCTGTAAATTGAAGTCGAGTCCTGGTGTGGCGCTGTGGGTTAATGTGCTGTTCTGCAAAGTTGATTCGAACCGCAAGATTGGTAATTCAAGCTCACCAGCTGCTCCTCGGAAACCCTATACAGAGTCGCTATGGGTCAGAACTGACTTGACGGCACTTAACGTAAATTGAAGTATTGTTGTTTTTAGTAAAAAGAAAGGGTGCTGTTACTTAAAAAAGGAAGTTTGAAATCATTTCTGTGCTCAGCTTCTCGAAAATGACAGGAGATTTGGCAAGCAAAGAAATGATGAAAAGTAATGAAATCAGCTGTCCTTAGAAGTAACAGGTGCTAAACAATAGTCTGTAACGAGCTGGCGAGGGAAGAAGGTCTCGCCAATGATAGGGTGTCTGCTGAAATTATAACCTGCTCTATGGCGTTGGTGTCAGAAGCGCTAATCTGATAGATTGTACTGAGAGTGAGAGGGTGGAGGCTGAAGCTTACTCTGGGCAATTATTCACAATATTTTGAAAGAAGAATGTTTCAGGGATGGAATCTGCAGAGCCGAGAACAAGGAGAGTGAAGAACAGGCAGGGCAGGGCCCCTTCTGAATCCATCCATCCAGAGGAGAGGGCCCCCATCAGGCCAAAGAGATGGCTCTCTTGCTGCCCGAGAAGGACTCGATTGTAAAACGGTGCTGTTTGATGTGACCTTCCCTGAGTTGAGTTGACATTCTCAAAACCAGCACCGCCCTGTTATTCTTTATAACCCCCCCTTTTTTTTTTTTAACTACGTAGCCCCCTTGGCAGAGTCCCTTGGTGGTACCAATGGTTAGCACACAGTGCTGTTAACTAAAATGTTCCAGTTCACCCAGAGGTGCCTTGGAAGAAACTCCTGGCAATCGACTTCGGAGAAATCAGTCACTGAACACCCTGTAGAGCTCGATTCTACTCTCACACATACGAGACCAAATCAGGTTTGCTTGTGGTCATAACCTCCTTGACATTGAAAGCTATGTCCCCATAATAAGTAAAGAAGTTGCCATTTGGGGTTAAAGAACAGCCTGATATGTTTGCCTTGCTTGACCCAGCAGCCCAAGTACAGTCAGCTTTGGCACCCTGGCAAAATCAAGACTTGGGAGGCCGCCATAACTGCGATGACTGGGTTTTTCTTTGACGGCTGGCTGTGGTACATGGGATCACTTGCATCCGGCCTTCGTTGCTGTTGTCTTACGTCTTATGTTGTTGTTCTTATAGGTACTGCCAAGTTGGTTCTGACCCGTAGTGCAGTGAACAACGAAACAAAACACTGCCCAGTTGTTGTTATACTTAAGCCCATTGCTGCGACCACTGTGCCAGGCCATGTCTTTGGGGCTTTCCCTTCTTTTTCCCTGACCGTCTTACTTTACCAAGTATGATAATTACCAAGACATGTTTGTTGTTGTTGTTAAGTGTCAGCAAGTTGGTTTCAACTCAGATTGACCCTGTATAGGGTTTCCGAGGAGTGGCTGGTGAGCTTGAACTGCTGACCTTGCAGTCCAGTGCATTAACCCACAACACCACACCAGGACTCCAGACACCAAGTTTTATAACTTCCATCAAATGATTGGGTGGGATTATGCAAATGTGTCACTTGTGGCCCACTAGTGGTTACGAATTGGGCTGCGAACCTTAAGGTCAGCGGTTTGAAACTACCAGCTGCTCCGCGGGAGAAAGATAAGGCTTTCTACTCCCGTAAAGATTTACAGCCCCAGAAACCCTGTACAGGGTCGCTATGAGTTGGAACTGACTCGATGACACTTAACAACAACAACAAGGGAATGGGATGGTGTTCGGCACTCTCACTGGGGGTGGGGGTGGGGGTGGGGGGTTGTTGGGTTGTTGTTAAGTGCCGCTGAGTGGTGGGTTCCAGCTCACAGCAACTCCATATAGGATTTCCGAGAAGCGATTGGTGGTGTGGTTACACAAACACTGATGAGGGGATTGGTCAGTTTTAACTTCCCACCAGGCTTAAAATGAGCCCTGTCACCAGAAAGCCGAGACAAACACAAAGCAAGTCCTTCGAACCCAGGAGACAAAAACAGTGGGCTCTAATACCTGAGACGGCCGGTGAGATGGGCAGCGGACTTCCTGGCCCACAGACCAAGGCAGCTGCTGGAGATGGACTGAGGGAGTAAGAGCTGAGTGGCCTAGGGCCGGAGCCTTCTGGTCCAGCCGGGTGCCTCTGGGCAATTGTCGGGGAGCTGGGCTAACTGGGGGAATGGGGTGCCTCTGGGCACTCATCAGTGGACCTAAAGGACCTTTGTGGACTCCTGGTGTGGTGCTCTAGCATCAGCACTGAACTGCGAAACCACAAGCTCGGTGGTTCAGACCCACCATCTGCTCCCTGGGAACCCTATACAGGGTTGCTGTGAGTTAGCATCGCCGACTCAAGGCACTTCTCAGCAACAAAAGGAGTGGTGTAACCATGCGAGCAGGGGAAACCTGAGGGGCCCAGAGACCTGCTGTGGCTGAGAAGAGCTGTGCCCTGATGAATTCTGCACCTGCGTTGTACCCTGCTCCTTCCCTAGTAATCCTGTGGGTTCTGTGTAGCCATTGCCAGGAATCATGGAATCCAGCAGGTTGGCTGGAAAGTAGGAGTCTGTTTGACCTTAGAGGAATTGACCTGGGCCTGAGGCTGAGGCTGATGTGGTTCTCCCCCTCCTGAAGTTAGAGGAGGTCAGTCACCATTCTGACAGTGGCCACTGCCCTCCCTTCGAGTGTTGTCGTCTCGCAGCCCATTCCCTGGCAATTCTCTGATCTTATCAGGGAATGTAGTGTCCTGGTACAGCACTGTGGGTTAATGTGCTGAACAGCAAGGTCAGCAGTTCCAGCTCACCAGCTGCTCCTCGAAAACCCTATACCGGGTCGCTGTGGGTCGGAACTGACTCGACGGCACTTAACAACAACAATTAGGAAGAATGTAGACGGTGCCTTGCTTCTTGTGATAATAGCCCATTCATTTAATGATTAATAGATCTGGTATTCGTCTTGTTTTAACCTCCAGGGACTGCAAAAGAATGTGTAGGTGAGATCGTATCTCCTGGGAGAAAGGAAGCAGAAAGATGGATGTTATTTGATAAACAAGGGCTTCTCAGAATGGAGTAGACGGTGTTGCCAGCTGCAGGTGGGATAAAGCTCCACCGTGACCTCACACCCACTGTTCCCATCAGTCCAGGCTGAAAGTGGGGTTTCTATTCTATTCGTAAAGTTAGGTTTCAATCAGAAAGCCAGGCACTGAAGGGAATTGGGGTGCCAAAGTCTTTTATATTTAAAGTGTCTCCAGGATCCAGTCCTCAACTGAGAACTTTAAGATTAAGAAAGGCCCTCACTCACTAGGCCAGCCACTCTACTCACTTTATTTATAGAAAGGGTTATAAGGTCATTGTCATGGATTGAATTGTGTCTCTTCCAAAATATGTGTCAGCTGGGCTGGACCGTGACTCTTGGTGGTTTGGCAGTTATGTGATGATCCCCCAGTAAGGATAAAGGATGGACTGCAAGACCTCCACCCCAGTATCACCCCATCCTGTGGGGGTGTGGTCTGCAGCTGCTTTAATCTCACGAGAGATGTCAGGAGAGAGAAGTGAGCTGAGACCCGTACTAGCACCAAGATCATCGAAGAGCCGGGCGTAGAGTGTGTCCTTTGGACCCTGCACTTTGAAGCTCCTAGATCCGGGGAAAGGTTGATGCCAAGACACATGGCCATCTCCACAAGGAATACTGGGCCTGCACCTGCTGAAAGGGGCCCAGCACCTTTCGTCCGAGCCACGCTGAATCTCTAGCCACTGAACTATGAGTCCTGGTGTGGCGCTGTGGATTAATGCGCTGGACTGCAAGGTCGGTTTGAACCATAAAGTTAGTGGTTCAAGCTCACCAGCTGCTCCTCGGAAACAAGCTGTAAGAGGAATCATGATCTGGCACTGAAGGGTAAGCACTGGACTGTGAGGTCGGTGGTTCAGATTCACCAGCTGCTCCTCGGAGCCGATTCAGCAGCATGGAACAACAACAACTGTAAGAGAATACATTTCTGTTTGTTGACGTCACCACCTTGGCATAGCATTTCTGTCATAGCAGCACTGGGCAGTCATGGTCTAGAAGGTTCACTGTGTTCAAACCAAGTGCTTGCTACAAAGTGTTTCTCCCTCACTTCCTGCTCAGTCAGGCCTTCCTGCTCCTAACTAGCCATTTGAACCTTTGACAGATTTCATTATAGTGATTCTGCCTCTTTGTCCTGTGGGCCGCTGAACCAGTTGTTCTCCAGCTGTTGTTAAGTGCCATCGAGTCAGTTCCGACCCATAGCGACCCTGTGTAGCGTTTCCAAGGAGCAGCTGGTGAGCTTGAACCTCCCACCTCGCAGTTCAAACGGCTTTGCAGTCTGGTGCATTGACCCACAGCACCACACCAGGACTTGGTCTCCAGTAGCACTTTCTAAATGGCGGGAACTTTGACTATTGCGCTCTCTAGTATGGTAGAGAGCACAAGGTCATCGGTTCAAATTCACCTGCTGCTCTGCGGAAGAAAGATGAGGTTCTCTGCTCCCACAAAGATTGACAGCGTCTTTTCTGACTCAGGGTCACTATGAGTCAGAACCCACTCGACAGCACTAAACAGTGAGCAGTCCAGATAAAGAACTAAAATGTTCATATTCTCTTCAGTCCGGGATGCCCGTCTGTCTGAATCAGCTCAGTGGCAGTGGGTTTGCACCTTTGGGTTTAACCCAGAATTCAGGAGTCTTTTTGACAGTGCTTCATTTGCATAGAGTATATACGAAAGGAGCTTCAAAAAGTTCCTGGGAAAAATGGAATGAAAAGGTGATGGGATTTTCCTCTGAACATATTTTGTCTCGCACAGACTCTGACAACAGTTGACTGAGAGAAGGATGTGATGTTTCTTTAAATGTGAACGTTTTGAGGACCTTGTGCTAGACTCTCAGCATAGGTAACCCCCATAATGGGAGCTGGTGTGGCAGGAGTAATGGGGTTAGATAACCAAGAAGAACCTGCGGGGTGATTGGTGATCACCCACAAAAAGAATGTGAGGCCCCCATGCTCTGGAGCCATGGGTGACTGATACTTACGGGACTCGTAGCCGTCCTGTATAGGGTTTCCCAGGAGTGCCTGGTGTATTTGTACCTCAGACCTTATGGTGAGCAGTCCAGTGCTTATCTTGCAGCACCACACCAGTGAGCTAGAAGAAAGGAAGCCAGTTCTGAGTGGCTACCAGAAACATCTAATGATACTACCAAGTAACCCTGTTTTTTTATAAGAATTTTAAGAGTAATTATAAGGGCAGCCACGCCTCACTAAATGGTGTAAGAGAGTCTGAAAGCTTAGTCTTAACCTCTGCTGTTTCTAATTGATTTCCAGAAGCATTTAAAACCATCAGCTTCTTTTAAAAGCTTCACCTCATAAGTTTCTTTACTGTTGTTGTGATTTTATATTTTTGCTCTTTGTGTCAAGTGATGGAATGCTTCCAAGGTTTAAATTCCTGAGGTATCAGAAGGTGGATTTTCGTTTCTGGGACAAGAATTACCATTCTTTTCCTCTTGTGATCTGCTTTCAGGAAAAGGAGAAGGAATGGCAATGAAGAAGACAACCATCTCCCTCCCCAGACCAAACGGGGTAGCAGGAACCCTGTCTTCCAGGATTCCTGGGACACAGAGGTAGGTCACGTGGTGTCGGCTTCACGTGGTGTCTAAGCTGCACTCATTTCTGTTATGCCAGGCACCTGAAAGAAATGTCTTCCGAGAGTAAATACAAAGTGATCTAATTCAATTGCAGTGGTTTTTTGTTTTTGTTTTTTAATGTTTTATTGTGAATTGTGTACTAGTTTACATGGGAGAACATTAGCTTTATGTCCATCCTATCGCATCTTGTTTCATTGCCATGGCTACAATCCCTTGCAGAGGTTTTTCACCTTGATTTCCCGTCAGCTATGGTGCCTTTGAGCATTGCCTCTCCCGCCCCCCAGTAAGCAGTCTGTCTCTGCACCGTCACACACAAAACCAAACCAAACCTGCTGTCATAGAGTTCGTCCTCATTCATAGGGACCACACAGGACACAGTTGAACTGTCCCACAAGGTTGCTAAGCCAGCCGTGTGTACGGAAGCCCGTCTTTCTCCCCTGCTGCAACTGGTCAGCCAACTTAATTAACCAAGCTCCTTTATTCATGTTGTTGTTGTGAGGTGTTGTCGAGTGTGTCCCTACGCATACCAACAAAAGGGCACAGTGCCCCGTGGTCCTTCGCCATCCTCACAGTTGTTAAGCTTGGGCCCATTGCCTTTGTCAATCCGTCTTTAGGAATCTTCCTCTTTGCACTGACCTTCCACTTTACCAAGCACGTTGCCTTTCTCCAAGGACTTGTCCTTCCTGATAATATGTCCAAAGTATGAGAGGCGAAGTCTCGCCATCCTGGCTTCTGCGGAATCTTCTGGCTGCGCTTCTTCCAAGACAGATTTGTTTCTTCTTTCAGTCCGTAGTTCTTTCAGTATTCTTTGCCAACACCATAATTCACATGCATACAACTTTCTATGGTCTTCCTTATTCATTGTCCAATTTTCACATGCTTATGAGGTGATGAAAAATACCATGGCTTGGGTCAGGTGCACCTTAGTCCTGAAACTGACATCTTTGCTCTTGAACACTTTAAAAGGCCTTGTGCAGCCTGTTTGCCCAGTGTAATACAGTGTTTGATGTCTTGATAGTGATAGCTGCTTTCATGTGTATTGATTGTGGATCGGCGCAAAATGAAATCTTTGACAGCTACAGTCTCCCTCCAATTTATCATGATATGTCGTGGTCCAGTTGTGAGAATTTTTGTTTTGTTACATTGTGGTGCAATCCTTACCAAAGGCTGTGCTCTTTGATCTTCATCAGTAGTTTGAAGCCCTCTTGGCTTTCAGCAAGCAAGCTTGTATGATCTGCATATCACAGGTTGTGACTGAGTCTTCCTCCAATCCTGATGCCATGGCCTTCTTCATAGAATCCAGCTTCTTGCCTTGTTTGCTCAGCATACAGACTGAAAAAATGCAACCCTTGTACACATCTTTTTCTTTGAAAGCAGCCAGGTTCTCTTGTTCAGTTTGAACGACTGCCTCTCAGTCTGTGTACAGGCCCTTCATGAGAACAATGAAGTGTCCTGGGATACCCATTCTTCCCAGAGATCCATGGTGTGTCGTGGTCCACACAGTCTAAAGCCTTTTTATAGTTCATAAATCACCTTTCTAGTTTTTTCTGCTTTCAGCCAAGATCCATCTGACGTCAGCAGTGACCTTTATTCACACTCATTCCCAAAGTTGTATTTGCTAGAAGCTTCCTGGGCCTTTAAAAACCCTTTTAAAACCCTCATTTTGTATTTCCTAAACCATCTCATTCTCCAGTAGTCTAACAGCCATCATAGATCCCTGAAGAGACGCATGTTTTGTAACTTCAATTCTCACATCTTTAATTGAACAACTAAGAGAAACTTTAAATGTGCAGAATAGATGAAGTATTTGCTTGCCAACACCCATTTTGAAGTCTTTCGACTTTTTCATTTTGTTACTCTACAAAGATATCTCCTTTGTGTGTGTGTGGGGGGAGGGGTGGGCGCAAAGATCTCACCACATTTTCTATAATTTGGGGTTTCTGAAAAAAGTCCAGCAGATACAGCCTAGAGAAAAATTTTCCATGTACATGGTTGGTGGTTCAAACCCACGAGCAGCTCCTCGGAAACCCTATACAGGGTCACTGTGAGTCAGCACCAACTCCACAGCACTTCGTAACTCCAGTTCAACGCCAGTGTAGAGTAGAGAAGTTTCCATGTGCAGGCGGAGAAGGAAGCTGACAGGAAGGTGATGTTGCTGTTCAGTTCTGTACCTAAAGGTTTGGACCCTTCACAGAGAAGGGCCAGTCCTCATGAGTTGTCCTCTAACAAAGGAATGCCACAGTGACCAGATCATCCAGAGTCACTTCCCCAGGGGAGAGGTGATTCTCAAGTAGGTGACACTCCTTCAGGTAGAATGAATGAGCTCCTGCCCTGCTGAGAGCCCTATTGTGTGGAGGCTTGGGTTTCTATAGCTTCCTTTCCTCACTCAACACCTAGCTACCCTACCTCTCTGTTTGAAGAGAAATGTAATTGAGTTTTTGTTTAATGTGATAATTGATAACTCCTCAGGGAGAGGGAAAAAACCCCAAAGATAAGAGGCTGACTTGTCTAATGATAAAACTCTGTAGTTGTAATTGAGTATTCCTTCTTTACAATTAAATGATCCTCATTAGGCAGAGTTAGCTGCCAATCACTGTGAACTTGTGTCTGGTTGTAAGCCCTGCCCCTCTGATGGTCACTTAATTCAAGCATATCAGAGACCCAACTGGGCATCAACCATTCCTCTGTGTGTCTATAATTTGATGCCCGTGCAGAGCAATACAAATTGTCCTCTTATTTTGCTAATTTAAAGTTAGCTGTTTCTGATCTCTTTAAGTAAACAGGACTTCTTAGTGTTAGGGTATTTTGTTTTTAATTGCTGTTGGTAGAAAATCACCTTAAATCTACGCATTGGGATCAGAGACGCAAACCCCATTGTTATTGAGACTCTGGGTCCGTGTAGCTTATTCTTAGTTGACCAGAAGGATTCAGGTTTGAACCATTCTAATGTTTCATTTGAAGGATGGTCTCAGCTCTCTCTCTGATAATGTCTGGTAATCTGAGCCAACTGGTTCCTTACCTACCAGGATGTTACAGCCATTCCTGTCAGCCTTCCTTCCTGACCAGGAACCAGCCTGCTGAATCAGCAGTGCCCTGCGCTGTGCCAGACTTCCCCATTGGCAGTGTTAGCTAGTAGTGAACGGGGGAGGAGGCAGAGGGAGCCCAGGAAGCAACAGGCAGGGCAGAGACTTCACAGCTGGGCATCGCCTCTGACTTGATTCTGGCTCACAGCAGCAGAGGAGACCTGCCCCGTCGCGTTTCCAAGGCTGTCACTTTACGGGCAGTGGATGGCCCCATCTTTCTCCCATAGAGCTACTGGCGGGTCTGGGCTGCCAACGTTACAGCTAGCAGCCAAGGGTTTCACCCTGGTGACACAGGGAGCTTACGGCACAAAGATAGGCTGTTTGTTTAATTTTATGAGCAGTTCCAAATTGTTACTGATAATTTAATTTCTAAAAATTTTTAAGTTTTTTTCTCTTAAATAATATTGGCCTGTACGGGGGTGGGGGTGGGGGGGGATAAAATGTGGAGTTTCAAAGTCCTGAAGAAGAAATTGGAGTCTTGTGCTTTTCCTCAGAAACTTTAATAGGTGCTTGAAGACCTTAAATTCTGATTGTAGTAAGACTTCGTGACTTGAAGCTTAGGTACTGTGTTCTGTTTTTAAATTGAGGTGTAATTTACTAGTATAATTAGAAAACAGAAGCAGATCCACTGCAGTGGTGTAAATTCCGACCCTGTGTAGCATTTCTGGGGCTGTCAGCCTTTATTGGAGAGCCTTCTCCCCACCAACTAGCAAAAGCAATCATTTTGTAAGATCCTTCTAGATGAATCCTGGGAGTTCCTGTCTACATTGGCTCAGTTTTCTCTTGGTGAGCAAGCAGTGTCATGATCCACATGTATCATCCTCTGCAGGGCTCTTACTTGGATGGATGGGGGAACCCAGCTGGGCTGACTTCCTCTGAGTTTGCTCTCTTAAGGACTGGCTGACTGGGTTCACACTTTGCTCCCACCCCCACCCCGCCCCGCCCTGCCCCTTTCCCATTTTAATCTCTGAGTGTAAATGACCCTGGAGGCTTCCCTGGAAATTGGCTTGGGGCACCCAGATAAATGCCTAATTAAAGAGGCTTCTGGTTGAGTAATGAGGCATTCTGGTTATTCTACAAAAACTCTCCCCCACCCCTCTGTTTTCTCTTTCCCAAGATGGTTTTGATGTTTCGGAGGACAGTGAGGAGAAAGACCACAAAGAGGAAGCTAGAGAGGTGGAGACCGAACTGAGGGTTTACCTGGAGCAGCCTGTCCGCCTTGTTCCTGTCTGGCCTGCTCTTGTCCTTGTTAGGTGCCATCGAGTCATTTCCAACTCATCCGGACCCTGTGCACGACAGAAGGAAACACTGCCCTGTGTGTCCTTTGCCACCCTCAACGATTGTTGTTCTGGTGGAGTTGCAGGGGCCAGGTTTTGGTAGTCGTAGTGGAACTCTCTTGGCGTTGTCGGATAAGCACTGTGCTTGCTACTAACCATAAGATTGGCAGTTCAAACCCACCAGCTGCTACTCGTGAGAAAGATGAGGCTTTCCGCTCCTTTAAAGATTGACAGCCCTGGGAAGCCTCCAGGGCCACTGTGAGTTGGATCGGACTCAAGAGCACATAACAGCAGTGCCTAGTGAACGTGCAGAGGTGTTTGACAAATGGGAAACCTACCGAAAGAGGGACTGTGTGTATATAAAGGGTTTCCAGGGAGCGGCTAGTGAGCTTGAACCGCTGAACTTGTGGTTCAAACCGCCCTTGCAGTCCAGTGCATTGTCTGTAGCGCCATACCAGGACTCTTAATTAAAGTTAGTATTCCACAAATCCATGTTTTCGTTGATTAGAAGAATCTGTTAAGGTAATTTGTTTTTTTAATAATGTAAATTGAGATGGTAACTGGGCTATTTCATGTAATTTTTTTAAAGGTATTTTTCAAATTCTTAGTTTCTGCC